TACAGCTACATTCGTTGACCCTATATGAATAGAATGAATGAATTCGATCTTTCAATTTAAAATATTTACACAAGTGGATACCACAAAATCTTATGTTATACTTAATGAAAGTATAAATAAACTCTAAGTGTTAGTCAATCTATTGTTTTGATGGGATAGGAATTCTCCGAAACTAATTTCAACGATCCCAACCGTCAAACTTGTTTGCATATGCTTCGAGATCACATCAGCAAAAAATCACAAAAAACAAACATTCAGAGATCAAGTAACGGGACAAAGCTTTTCGACGGTTATAAACGAAAAATCACGATTTAACGGTTATTTTAACTCTGATTTTGATGATTTTTTACAGCTACACTCATTGACCCTATATGAATATAATGAATGAATTCGATCTTCAAATTAAAATATTCACACAAGTGGATACCACAAAATCTTATGTTATACTTAATGAAAGTATATATATATTTATTAAGTAGATTTAAATTTATTTATTTTGTATGTATAACACTTAAAGAAATTGAATGGTATGTATATTTAAACTGATCCAATTGTCACCAATTTTTAAAATTTAATTTAATATATATATATATAATTATTATAGTTTTTAGGGGTATAAAATTGTTACATTAATATATATAATTATTATAGTATTTTTTAGGGTTATAAAATTAATATATATAAAATTATAGTATTTGAAATATTAGGCGGGAAATTTCCCGCTTGTTTGAATGGATGGAGAGACTTAGTGTCGGTTTTAACCGACGCTAGTGTCATTAAAGCGACGCTATGTGAATTTCAAAAAGTGTGTCAGAAGTTGGCGTCGGTTAAAAGCGACGCTAGTTTCATTAAAGCGACGCAAGTTTCATTAAAGCGACGCTAGTTTCATTAAAGCGACGCAAGTTTCATTAAAGCGACGCTATGTGAATTTCAAAAAGTGTCAGAAGTTTGTGTCGGTTTAAAGCGACGCTAGTTTCATTAAAGCGACGCTATGTGAATTTCAAAAAATGTGTCAGACGTTTGCGTCGGTTTTAACGGACGCAAACTAAGTACCCATATTTAAACCCCTCTCTTTCCCATTTCAACTGTGCTTTCATTTCTCCCCCAATTTCAAACTTTCTTCTTCTCCTTCCCCATTTCATATGTGCGTCCCCTTCTTCCTCCTTTTCAGTTTTTCCTCAACTCCTTCCCCGTTTGCTTTGGATCACCAGTTTGAAGATCAACATTCTGAAGAACTCCAATTCGAGGAGGAAGATCTTGAAGGTGGTTCATTTTTAAATTATTATGATTATTAATTTTAGTTTCTATTTTGTATTCTAAATAGTTTTATGCTTAAATTGAAAATTTATTTTTGTTTCTTGGTTTTTAATTGTTTTTTTTTTGTATTTATGCATGTTGGATCTGAAGAGCAAGGACACTGGAAATCGCAGATCCATAATTTTTTAAAGGTATAAAACCTGAGTTTAATCTATAGAGATTAGAGCCCTAATGTTGAAGTAGTAAAGTATTGGAGCACTGATCTGATGGCAAGCATGGCAGCATGGAGTTGCTAGTATTATATATGGCACTAGGGAGCTACAAAATCTGTGGTCTTCGACAAAGGCAAGCACAGGAAAGCATGGAGGATGAATTTTTGTAAATTATATGGAATGTTAGATGTAAAACATTTGTATATTATGGCACTATTTTTCTTTTGAATTATTTTATTATTGTTTGTTTTGGCCTAAAAATTGAAATTTATTATTTCGATTATATAATTTTTTTTTGAGTTATAATTATTTGAGAACGAATACAGAAACAGATTTCGACTTTTTTTTTAATTATTATTATCAAAGGTGGTGTCGCTTTAAACCGTCACTAGTTTGCATATTTTATTTATTTAATTGTTCTCTAACGTCGCTTTAAAGCGTCACTAGTTTGCATATTTTATTTAGTTAATTGTTAACTAGCGTCGCTTTAAACCGACGTTAACATCAGCGTCGCTTTAAACCGACGCTGCGTAGTGGCGGATTAAGCGAACAAAGCGACGCTGAAGCCCTTTAGTGACGGTAGCAATGGCGTCGCTATTCCAATCCGACATTGCAGTGTTTAATGTCGGATTTTTGCCAAATTTCCGACAGAAATCGGGGTTTCTTGTCGGTTTTTTGTCCGCCGGTGATAGCCTATATTGTAGTAGTGAAGCCCAAAACGTCACTTTAACAACACTACGCGCTGCTTTTTTATTTCATCCCCATAATTAAACCGCTTGATATAAAAGTCTGAAACTTTGATACGAACACATTGAAAGACTAACGAACATCCTCCAATTAGAATCACTCCAAAATTCATTCGTTTAAATACTTTTTGCTCAAGAGGAAGTCAAATGTCCTACATTGGAAATATAATTCAAAGTATCAAAATTCTACCAAAATAACCAATAAATTAATACTAAGATCAGAGTAAAATATATAGTAAAATATTAGCTCATCAGTTTCCGTGCCTCTTGGTATTGGTCGAGCCTTCTTGCTGGCCGCGACGCTATTTTGGCAGGGGTGCACTGGCAGATTATGGATGGTAGGGACACATGGGTTTGGTTGGATAGGTGGCTCTCAACCCTCCTTCTTGGTCGCCCCATCCCACAGTGCACTGGGCATGTTACTCCTAATACTTGGGTCTATATGCCAGACCACCCGAACTTGGGATCTTGAATTCCTACGACCGTTCATAACTAATGGTGAAATGAATACCATTCTATACACATATTGGAGACCCCTTTCATCGTGATTGCTTAATTTGGACGATTGATCGTCGTGGTATCTTCTCAGTCCGCTCCAGTTACAACTGGATCCACTCTAAGAACGTTACCTTCAATGAACGCCGCCATCTCCCTCTAGTACCATTCATGGTCGGGTTTGAAATAGTATCTGGAAAATTTCAAGCCCTGCCTAATATCAGACACTTTTTTTGTGGTGGGTGCTCCAGGAGGCACTAGCAACTATGGTGGGATTATTCATGGGCCGATCTTCCCCTCCCCATTGTGCCCTATCTGCAAATTCCATGATGAGTCAGTGGCGCATCTCTTCCTTTTTTTTCCTTGGGTGGAACCTATCTGGTTCGGTGGGCCTCTTGGCCTTTGGGTTAATAGATATCGAGGCTCTTTTTTCGCTATTTGGCTCCAATCAATGGTCAACTCGAATTATAGTCAAATGTCGGACAAGGATATATTGTTACCTATCATCGCTTTTACATGTTAGCAGATTTGGAAGACCAGATGCAGTGTTATCTTCAATAATAAGTCCATTAATCATAACCAGGTTGTGCTTTCTCTCTCTCACAGCCTTACTGCATTCTGGGATGCCAGTCCGTTGGCCCCCCCAAGGGTCTGTGAGCATGCCGTAGGTTCCTTCTTCCCTCCCTTGAATGAGCCTTTCTTGAAGGTTAACGTGGATGCCAGCTGGCTCCCTACCAACGACAGAGGTTGTTCTGCAGTGATTATTAGCGACCACAAAGGCTACTTTGTGGCTGCCAGGAAGCTCGCCATCTCGGCACTAGGAGTGGCATTTGTGGAGGCGTTGGCTTTGCTCCTTGGTTATGAGTTGGCTATTGAGCTTGGTTATGAATGTGTCACCTTCAAGTCCGACTCTTTGTAATCACCCCCTTAAGGGAGGGATATTACAAATGGAAGTTAGGAAGCATTCCCGATCTTGGTGAAAATCAAGCGGCTTGGGGATTCTTTATAAGATTGTCGCTGCTCTTGGACTCCAAGATCAGCCAATTGGATGACAGATTGCTTGGCATCGCTACGGAATTTGGAGATATGCGGGAACACTTGGGGTCAATCGGCCTCCATCTTCATTGGTTCATATTCTTAACAAAGATGGTTTACCCTGTCCTTCGTAACATTTATTTTGGTTTTGTGGTGTTGGGGGATGACGTGTCTGCTTTAGTTGCAACGTCTTAGAAATGTAACACCCTTCACTACCTTTTATCTTTATTACTTGCAGTTTGCTTGCCTCTACTGTAGGCTTTCCTTGTATTTCTAGCTTTTTCCCTGATAATGAATTTTCCAGTTTCACCAAAATAAAAATAAAATAAAAAAGGGGGATGGGGGGCAAAAAGCAAAAGCTAAAACAAAACAAATCAATTGTGATAGATTTTAATATCTGCAATTGTTTTGGCATTCCAAATTTCTCATTTTGCACTCTAAATTTTCTATGTTTAGAATGAAAAATATACTTCTGGGAAGTGCAAAATGAAAATTTTTAAAGTGTCAATAACAATTCTCTTAATATATCGATGCCAAGAAAATATTTCATATTTATTATATGGGGCGTGGACGGATGAAGTGTAAGAGTGCATCCGGCGTGTTATGTGACCGTCGTAGGCCACTGAAGCTCAAGGGAAAATTTCATAGGACGACAATAAGGCCAACGATGTTGTATGGCACAGAATGTTGGACGGTGAAGCATCAACACGTACACAAAATAGGTGTAGCGGAGATGAGGATGCTTCGTGGGATGTGTGGGCACACGAGAAAGGATAAGATTGGGCATGAGGATATCCGAGGTAAAGTAGGAGTAGCCGAAATTGAAGGAAAGATGAGAGAAAATCGGTTCCGGTGATTTGGACATGGGCAAAGAGGGCCGACTGACGCTCCGGTTCGAAGATGTGACTACGGGACAGAGGTTCAGGGCCGAAGGGGTAGAGGAAGACCTAGGAAAACTTTAGAAGAGACTCTAAGAAAAGACTTAGAGTACTTGGATCGAACGGAGGACATGACACAAAACCGAGCGCAATGGCGTTCTAGGATTCATATAGCCGACCCCACTTAGTGGGAAAAGGCTTTGTTGTTGTTGTTGTTATTATATGGGGCGTGGCCCTTGTAATAAATCTAAAAAGAAAAACAATCCAAATATTGAAACATATATAGAAAAGGGACCAATTTATCTCTTCACAGAAATGAATTTAAGTTGCATTTATACATATGATACCTCTCTACATGACCATCCAAACTTCAACTTTCACGATGACAGCTCCTTCCAACTACTAGACAGACTCCACTGGTCGGAACTTGCCACCGATGAGTTCCCTCCGGTGCCACACTTGGCCACTGTCCTCACGCTTTCAATCAAAGCCTCAGTGCGAGCTTCCTGCGACAAAATGTCAGAGAGCTGCTCTGGACTTATCACCAGCTTCACCTTCCAAACCCCACTACTGTTGTACCTCGGAAAAACTTCAGGATCTGACGGCCTCTTGCCTTGATTGTCACATGACATGCGATATGGTGTACAAACGGTGCCGTAAGGGTTTGCATTAATATCATGATTTTTGGGGGTTTTGTAGGGGTTTAGAGGTAGGAGATAGTAAAGCTCTTTGGGATGAAGCTCTTCGTTGTGGAGAAGAGGTTGCGCGAAGAGGTCAGGGCTGCGGAAGATGGCATGGCCTGGGGACTCATTGGTTATGGAGTTAGCTGTGATGGGGGCAAAGAGCTCCATTATTCCCCCACTGGATGTCACGACTTTCACCATCTCTTCTGCCTCTCGAAACCCTTTAAACACACAATTTCCCATTTCATATACGGAGAGATTATTCGGTGTATCTGATATACCAGCAAATATGGAAGAGGAATTAATTGGGGGTGAGAAAGAAGAGATTATGGGGATTTTAGTATATAAGGGGGGCATTTAATTGTTGAGGATTTTTGTTTGTTTTCCATTGCCTAGACCTAAGGTAAGCAGTTTGACAAAAGAAAAAAATAAAAAAATAAAAAAAGACCTAAAGGTAAGCAAAGACGGCCGACACAAAATATGCTTTTTCTTTGCAATGCAAAAAGGAATGTATTATGTAACTGATGTGAGGGGATTCTATAGTGGGGTGATCCACCACCTTGTCTTAAGGATAACATTGGTGATTAATTTAGTCAATATTCTTAACCAGGTAACATTATTTCATTACACAAAGAAAAGAATCGTGTCATATGAACATGATTAAGCAATATTAATCCTTTAAATCATATATATGGCCAATCAAATTGTGATATAATGGAATGAGTTGAGGATCATTTGATAGTTACAGATTAACTAGCCGAAAGTAAGATGACAAAGCAACCAAAGGAGGGAATTCTTAGTGCTAGAAAATGTATTCCGTGGAGGGCTAAACAAAAGAAAAAAAAGTTAAAAAATATATATTCGTGGGGTAATATTAAGGTGTTAGCATTTTTATCGTTCATGTATGTTAAACGTTTGGGGAGAATATATGTTTGACAAATTGACCATAATATTGGTGGATCATGATGATCATGGTTGAAGATCGGCCGGTCTCTCCACCTTTCTAGCTTTGCTTTAACCAAGCGGTCCTGCTAGTCGACGTCTACAATTTTTTAGGGAAATGCCATCATTTTCAACTGGTATATGCATATTTCTTTTTATTTATATCTAGTAGACTCAACAAATTAAAAGATAAATAATGGGTAGATTAACAAAGTGTGTTAGGGAAATGCATGTTATTTTTCACCTTATGTATATTCCTTTTTGTTTCTAGTTAGAACAAATTAAAGAAAATTAACAGGTAGAATTAAGAAAGTGTGTGAATATGTAGAAGCGACTTAATACTACGGTTTAGTAGTATTTATCTTCACTTCTAAGTAAAATATCTTAAATTTGATTCTCGTGAAATGTGAGTTTGATACTACTTATTCCCTCCACTCCATAATTTAAATATACATGTTGCGTTAAAAAACAAGTGTGCAAAATAACTTTTCATTTCTTACTTGTTACTACCTCTTCTCATCACTTGATCGAGTTTTACAAATTAAATCAAGAAAACCATGATATTTAGGGAAATGGATTATGTACACCACTATTAGATTGAACAAATCAAAGAAACTAAGAGTGTGCAAAATGACTTCCTAGTATTATGCATATTTCTTGATACAAAAACCACTTAATTAACAACAAAAATGAAAGCCTTAAACTTATTTTTGTTAGAGTACCAAAGGCTAGGATTGTGACAGTTGCCACTAGATAAATGAGTGCTTAGCAAGCTCTTAGTTTGTTAATATATGTATGAACAATGTATTGCAGGTATTGAAGTATCAGTATCGGAAAATAAGTGTTTTCTCTCTTCTCTCTCGTTTCTTCCATCTTAGCAATTTTCCATAGAATACTAACGGTAGACATTTGATTTCTTCCTAAAAGCTCATTTTACTGGTCATGCCATTTGATTTGCCCGTTCGAGTGTATTTGGTCACCAATGTAATTGATGATGATAAACTTAATTAGTTCTTGTCGTTTTATAATTTGAGCAATATTATGCACGTGAGTCGAATGACTGATACATAAGCGTTGATAACTTGATCCAAGAATACCTTCTCAACACCACACCATGCGCATGCAACTTTCGGTGTTATTATCTCACTCGATTACATTTGAAATTAATTACTTTTCCTTGGTTATCATTGAATTATTCCTTTGGTGGTTTCGTATCTAAGCAGCCAAAAGAATTTATCAGAAAGTGAAATGGCAATTTGGCCTAAAACTTTATGATTCTGTTAAAACCCTAGAGAAAGATCCAGCAAAAAGTAATTAGACATCATTTTTATGGTGCTCTTTGGTGACAATAACAACAAAAAACACTAATTATGCCTCATTTAGCTAGCCTGTGACTGCACCAAGCTAGCTAGTTAAGGTGATAGACTTTACTGTGCTCAGTGTGGGTTCTCAATTGGAGGATATAAGATCAACCTTTTTTCTTTTTACAATTTTGAATCTTTGATAATTCTATAAAGGGATGTGCTATCCACACACATTTTTTTTTTACTTTATACACACCCTTTTAATTTGCAGTTGTTTGATAGACTGAATTAAAGAAGATCAAAGAGCAAAAATTAACAAAGGATGTGTGAGAAGTAAAAAATGGTGTGTGAATAGCACACCCCTTCTATAAATTAGCTATAGTTAATTATATGTGTGTATTTCACAGGGGGATCATATCTCATATATATATAAAACCATATTTCATAAATAAATTTCATATCTACTTGTAAAAAAAAAAAAAAAGGTTTTTGAACTTTAATCCCTGAAAAAAAAACTAATTAAAACGTGATGTTGGATTATATATTGATTTCCAAATCGCTCACAAACTCTTCCCCTCGTACTTTTCCCTCTCAGTTCACTGATGCAGAGTACCACCGCCACCCAATCTCTCGAACTCTGGCGCGATTTCCAATTCTCCTATCAAGGTAAGCCTCGGATCACCCCTGCCATTCCTCCTATAATGATTCATAAGTAATGTTGATAATGGATGTCTTATTTGGTGAGGTTTGATACATAAACATCTCAGGACAGAACTACCCCAAATTCTGGAAAATTTGGACTGTGGTCGTCATGCCACTTTCTGGCTACTTTTCCGGCCAATGCCGGCCACGAATTGGCCTAATCTTGGTATGTATTTGTTCCTCTCGTGCTAAGCTTCATTTCCATATAAATTTTGTTATTTTTGGTGGAGAATCTAGCTCGAAATGAGCTCCTAAAGTTAGAGGAGAAACACGAAAAAAGAGTCTGGAAAACTCACGATGAAGGCACGCGCGCGTGGGTTGCCACTCTCTCCAATGCGTGCAGTGTGTGGCAGTACATGCGGTGGTGCGTGGAGGAACCCGAGGTCCCCTCTTTAGATTTCTCGATGTGCCAAATCTGAATCCGCCGTCCATTTTTCGAAATTCGACTGTTTTAAAATAGTTCTTAATTAGCCGTACTTTGTACGAAAATGCATAATTATGCTAGTACGCTATATTTACATAAATGGTTTCGTTTCTAGGTGAAATGCATCACAAGGATCTTTGATGCCCGTGAGTCGGGTTCGACTCGACAACATGATTGTGAGTGGTCCTTTCTTTGGTATATACATATATTTGTTTAGTTTTCATTAATACATCTAAAAAATGAATTTCCAATATGACTGTTGTAATTAAATTAACAATTATAGGAAATGACGTAACGATGAGAATTAGGAAATCATTACGAATCTTGCGGGATGCCTTAATTAAATGTATGGCTATGATTAATATTATGTTGACTAGAATTATCGAATCATTGTGGCAAGACTATATTTATGTTATGTACTCATTGTTTGCTGCACTGGTGTTAGTACTCGCCCGAACCAGGGCCAGTATTTCACGTGTATGTTCACATCGAACCGTACTCTCACTTTGGATCCATTCTAGGTGCCAATCCTATTCTAGATTGCTATAGGTAATTAAGACTCATATGTCATGTGCATAGCACCAGTCTTCACTTGATTGTAGTACTAGAGCATAAAACATTATTACACCCAATCTTTTTCACGTTAGAATACCTTTGCTTGAACTCATGTGTCAGCATGTGTCGATGAGCACTTGATGTATTTATTTATTTCTGCGAGATATTGTGATTACAAGTAGTTATGTGCTTATTTATGAATTTGTGACGTATTGAAGTCTTGAGATATTGCAAGTTACAGTAAGTATTTTCATACTATACGTAGTATGCATATTTTGGAAACTATACTTTTTTTACAGCAAGGGGTTATTATGTTTTCGAAAAGGTTTTTTACAAAACTTTAAGTTTAGAGCCACTCACCCTTGTTTTTCTCCCCTCCAGGTTTTAGTAGCTAAGCTTTCGTATCGACGAGGATTCTTGGCAATCTAGGCGTTGAAGATTACCTTCGATGGTATAATTCTCATTCTACTTTTACTGTACTTCACTTATACTCTGACATCACGTGTGATTGGGTTCAGTCTCGCTCACATGTGAACTCTTACATTTAGGCACTTTTAGGTTTCTATTTACTCACATTTTCCACATCACTACACTTTATGGCTACGTCACCCTCTTGGTGTTGTCTAGCAGAGCTCGATTTGGAGTTCAGGTGGACACTTCGGATCGGGGTGTGTCAGTTTGGTATCAGAGCATAAGTTTGGGCAGTATTGTGTTCATCACACGCATGATGTAAGCATTCTTGGTTCTTGAACCTACTTGTCGAATTTTGCCACCTCGTCGATTACAAAAAATGTGTTAGCTTTTCCTAAGTTATGGGTTACTTAGACGACTTATTGATATGTTAGAAGGACACTTTGGTGACCGCCTCTAAACTTTAAACGAAGAATTTCCCTGCCAAGGAAAGATGTAGATTTGAGACAAGTTGATGGCCCTGAAGCAGGGCTACTTAGTCATTTCTACCAACCATTTCGATTTAGGAAACCATAAATAGTTTTGATTCCTTAGTAGTACCCGTTAGTATACCACCTATCAGAATTCCTACGAAATTTTTATTTTCATCGAAATTTCTAGAAATGTCTTGAGTGATATGTGGTGCTAAAGTGGTAGCACTCAATGGAAGAACAGGCACATTAATTTTGGTCCCCAATAGCACTGATCTTCTTAAACACACTAGTTATCATTTCAGATCTTCAAAAAGAAGATTGATTTCCATTTGAGTCCATTCTAAGGTAGGTTATTAGCAAATTTCTTTTTTGGCCTTAGGACATTTCAACCAACACTAGATCCCAGAATTCCATTTGATGTTTTAACCGTTA